AATAAACAAAGCAAAACAAAAAAAAGCTATGAAAAGTAAAAAAAAACCTCTTAATTCCTAAAACTCAAACTGAAAATATAAAGCTGAAAGCGATTTCAAAATCTGAGTAAGTCCTGTAACAGTATATAACGACCTTGATGTTGCCCTCGGCCGATCCGCTGATGAAGCAGCTCTCGCTGGCATCGATGGCCAGTGCTTTGACGGCCGAGTCGTGCGCCTGGAAACTCTGGCGCTGGATCTTCAGACTGAGGTCCAGAACACTGATCCAGCCCTTCCGGCCTCCGCTGAGCAGCAGCTGCTGTTTAGACGCCAGAGCCAGAACCGTGGAGCCAGACTCGTGACAGCTGAAGCCTGCAGCACACGACTCGTTTAGACACGCTTCTACAGTGTGTGTGTGTGTGTGTGTGTGTGTGTGTGTGAGGGTGCGTGTGAGTGAGTGTGTGTGCCTGTGTGTGTGAGTGTGTGCGTGTGTGAGAGTGTGAGTGTGCGTGTGTGTGCGCGTGTGAGTGTGTGTGTGCGTGTGTGAGAGTGTGTGAGTGTGCGAGTGAGTGCGTGCGTGCCTGTGTGTGTGTGTGTGTGCGTGTGTGAGAGTGTGTGTGCGTGCGTGCGAGTGCGTGCGTGCCTGTGTGTGTGTGCGTGTGTGATGCGCACGTGAGTGTGTGAATAATGTTTTTTTCCAACACACTCGCATACATAAACGCATTAACCTTTTTTTTTTAGTATTATAAGAAAAACAATGACTTTTTGTATTATAATAATAGGAATTTTTAGAGGTGGTGAATTTTTATGAAAAATGCAAAAAAATAGTAATGTCCCAAAAACAGGCTACATTTAAACGTGCGCGCGCGCGTGTGAGTGTGTGTGTGTGCGTGCGTGCGAGTGCGTGCGTGCCTGTGTGCGTGTGTGAGTGTGCGTGCGTGCCTGTGTGAGTGTGTGTGTATGTGAGTGAGTGTGTGTGCGCGCGTGTGAGTGTGTGTGTGCGCGTGCGTGCGAGTGCGTGCGTGCCTGTGTGTGTGTGCGTGTGTGAGAGTGTGTGAGTGTGTGAGTGTGCGAGTGAGTGCGTGCGTGCCTGTGTGAGTGTGTGCGTGTGTGAGCGTGTGTGAGAGTGTGTGAGCGTGTGTCTGTGTGTGTGTGTGTGTGTGGAGCTAGCTGAAAGCTATTTCAAAATCTGAGTAAGTCCTGTAACAGTATATAACGACCTTGATGTTGCCCTCGGCCGATCCGCTGATGAAGCAGCTCTCGCTGGCGTCGATGGCCAGTGCTTTGACGGCCGAGTCGTGCGCCTGGAAACTCTGGCGCTGGATCTTCAGACTGAGGTCCAGAACACTGATCCAGCCCTTCCGGCCTCCGCTGAGCAGCAGCTGCTGTTTAGACGCCAGAGCCAGAACCGTGGAGCCAGACTCGTGACAGCTGAAGCCTGCAGCACACGACTCGTTTAGACACGCTTCTACAGGGGTGTGTGTGTGTGTGTGTGTGTGAGAATGTGTGTGTGTGTGTGTGTGAGGGTGCGTGTGAGTGAGTGTGTGTGCCTGTGTGTGTGAGTGAGAGTGAGTGTGTGTGTGTGTGTGTGAGTGAGTGTGTGTGCCTGAGTGAGTGAGTGCGTGCGTGTGTGTGAGTGTGTGTGTGTGTGAGAGTGTGCGTGCGTGCCTGTGTGAGTGTGTGTGTGAGAGTGTGTGTGTGCGCGCGCGTGTGAGTGTGTGTGTGCGTGCGTGCCTGTGTGTGTGTGTATGTGTGCGTGTGTGAGAGTGTGTGAGTGTGCGTGCGTGCCTGTGTGAGTGTGTGCGTGTGTGAGCGTGTGTGAGAGTGTGTGAGTGTGTGTGTGTGTGTGTGTGTGTGTGAGATGACTTACCGTGAACCAGACTGTATGCCGGCGTGACCAGCGTATCCCACAGACACACGTTCCTGTGATGAGAGAATGTGTTAGGATTAATAATAATGTTAAAAAGGTTTGATATTTATGAATTGGATTCATTTCATTGTGAGTGCAGAGCGCTTCCAGAGAGGCTCCGCCCCCACACACGCTTCTGATTGTCTGTGATATTTGATTGGTTCTGTCGCGTCGCATCTGGTGTGGACACACAAAATGCTTGTCGCTGGAATCTTGTTGCGTTGCGTGTAATTAGGACACGGTGTTACAAATGAGGACAATAGAAGCAATCAGAATAAACAAAAGAGCAATGGCATGCTAGTGCTATGACAAGCCTCGGTTAGCTTAATGCAGCACACATAGCAAGTTTTTTTTTTAAATATATATATATAATAAAAAAAGAAAACAAGTAGATAGAATAGAAAAAGAATAGACATGGCTAATGTTAGAGGACTTTTTTTTTTAAGAAAACAAGCAGTTAGAAAACAAATAGAGAGTGCTAGAGTTAGAGGGTCAAATAAAGGTGGAACAGATGTGTTTTAGATTCTTGAAGATGGTTAAGCACTCAGCTGCTGGGATTGAGTTGGGCAGGTTACTCCACCAGGAGGGAACAGTTAATGAAAAGTCTGTGAAAGTGATTGTCTCTCTTTGGGATGAACAATAAAGTGACGTTCACTTAAAGAACGCAAGCTTCTAGAGGCACATAACTCTGAAGTAATGAGTTTAGGTAAAAGGGTGCAGAGCCAGTGCTGGTTTTGTAGGCAAACATCAATGCCTTGAATTTAATGCGAGCAGCTACTGGTAGCCAGTGCAGATTGATGAACAGAGGTGTGACGTGTGTTCTTTTCGGCTAGTTACAAATGAGTGTGATGAGTGAGTGAGTGAGTGTGTGTGAGAGTGAGTGTGTGTGTGAGTGAGTGAGTGTGAGCGTGTGTGTGAGAGAGTGAGTGAGTGAGTGAGTGTGTGTGTGTGTGTGTGTGTGTGAGAGAGAGAGTGAGTGTGTGTGAGTACCTGTTGTCTGTGGACAGGCCTGCAGTGGCGATGAGAGACGACGAGCCCACAAACACAAAGTCATTCGCCGTCTTATTGTGACACTGAAGTGTCTGGAGGAATAGTGCACAAACACAGTTTGAGACACAATAAACATATTTAAAGATTGTGAACATCTTTACAGTATT